GCAAATCGTCATCGAGAAAGTGACGATGAGATTTTTTATTTTTTTTCTTCTGCTCCTAAATTCGTACTATGATAAGGTAGTAGTAATCAATATAACTTTCTTAACTTCTTAAGCCACGTTTTTTTTTTTTTTTTTTTTTTTTTTATCGGGTAAGTAGGTGAAAACAATTAATGTATTATGTTTTTGATTGATATTTATAATTTTTTTTTTTTTATTCCCGTTTAACATAAATAAAGAGACTTGAACGAAATGACCCTCGAGTTTTTTATTTGTCGTATGCACGCGCACTCACACACGCACACACACACGCATCCTTTTTACATATATTTACATATTTACAAGTCATTCGTCCGTGAAAATAAAATTTTTAATTAAATTTCGAGTACAAGTTCAATGACAAAAAAAAATTTTCAATTAAAATTAATATAATCATTATTATTACTATTTTTTTTTGATAATAATAATAATAATTGTTATAATGTAAACTTTGAGCTCGTTTTGTTTTGTTGTGATCAAGACGGAAAAAAAAAAACCGAAAAAAATAATTTAAACGTTTTTAAAAATTCTAAATAAAATAAAAAAAAGATCTATTGCCACTTGTTTCCGGTAGATTCGTATTCCCAAATCGTATTTTTTATTTAAAAAATTACAAATTATTACTTCCGGTCTACCTTATTATTATTAATAAACTAGAAATTATAGAAAAACATTTTTAAAAAACTCACCTTTGTGATATTCCAATTGAAAATTTATATTTACAAATTTTTGAAATTTGTTTGTTATCACAGCGTCGTTGACATTCGTGTCCGTTCGATGATGATAATAATAATAAAAAATTAAAAATGAAAAAAATTAATAATAATAACGAACAATCATGTTGAGCCATTTGTTTAAACTGGAGAAAATTTCAACTTGTTTTTTTTTTTTTTTGTAACAAACTCGGATCGCATACGGAAAAACCTGTATTTGTACGTATCTTGTGTAATCGTTTTTTTTTTTTTTTTTTAGCGAGTCGAGTTATAGACAAATGAGATATACCGTCGTCCTAGTTTCTCGTATTATAATCATCATCATCATCACCGACACATAAAAACCGTTTTTTTTTTTTTTTACTCTCGTGTACGCGTACGAATGATAATAAACAATAATTAAACATAGCAGAAAAAAAAAAAAAAATTGTTCACAATCGTTTATTGGGTTGTTATGAAATTCAATTGAATTTTTACTTAATTTCCTTCTCGGCCTTGGTTTAAGCCTAAAACCGCCATTTTTTTTTAACGGTCTTGAGCAATTTTCCTTTTTTTTTTGTTTGTTCGGGAGAAGTGAAAAGTCCAAAAACAAATCAAACGTTTGTTAATAAAGGTTAATAAATGAATAAATAATTAATAATTATTATTTTTTTAAAAATTTATTTTTAAATATTTACAATAAATAATAAATAATTTAAATAGAAAAGAAAAATTTTTTCGTTTCGTTGTTATTGTTTAAGCAAAAAAAAATTCTGGACCAATCCAATCACCGCATTTTGGAAAATTATCCGGTACGTTTGGAAAATCCGATTCACGACCGACTTTAAAAACTAAACTTAAACCTTTTGAAAAATGTGAAGAATTTTCTTCGTCGAACAACCAGTAACCTAAAAAAAAATAAAAGTTTAATATAAAAACAACAACAAAAAAAACCGTTAAATATGGCATTAAATTTTTTTTAACAAACCTGGATTATCAGCCTTAAATCTTATCACGTAAAGATATCCGCTGGATAATGCCAACGTATCTTTTACAACCGGATAATTAAAATTTCTAAAAATTTGTTTATTTACGTCATCAAATTGTTTTATTTGTTCTTTTGTAGCAACAAATGTCGGAACTTTTGAAATTCCGACAATTCGAAAAGAATAACCGTGTAAATGAAAAACGTGATCACTTTCATCTTGAAATAATAATAATGATGATAATAAAATAAATAAATAAATAAATTTATTATATCGATAAAAGATTTTCCATATTGACAATAAAAATAATAAATTTTATTTACCTTTATTAACTAAAACTAATTCCACGACGGAATTTAATGGGATTTTAACAACGTGTACGCATTCGCACGGAAAATTTTCGACTAAATTTTTTTTACATTTTTCAGGTATAAAATTTTCATCGCAAAATGAATCCGGTGATATTTGATAAGATTGAGATACGAGGGGAGACGATGGTAGTAACATTGTCAAATTATTTATTTGTTTTATCCTAACGGTTTCTTTCATACCTGAAAAATGATTTAATTTCGCTCATTCGTGAATTCGATTCGTACCTGCTTTTTTTTAAATAAAATAATCGAAAAGATTTTCTTACCGATGTTATGATTGGTGGACATTGTCGAATCTATAATTAAATAATATTTAAAATCAGGTTTTTCGATTGCTAATTCTTTTGGAATTTTTTCATACGAACGTATATTTTGTATGCAAATACGTGAAAATTCATCTGATTTGCAATCTTCGTCGAAAGAAGTAGAAATCTAAATAATAATAATAATAATAATTGTAATGAAATTTTGTAGAATTTTACAAAAAAAAATTCGTTTCGATTTGAAAATTCACCTCGAAAAATTCGGGAAATGATGATAAATCGTTATTATTGAAAACATTTACGAAATTTTTTTTTTCATTTCCTTCGTATTGTATTAAAGCGGATGTGGATAATAAATTTAAACATTGAACAGGCGTTGCTTTCATCGAGTAGGAAGCCATTTTTTGATTTGCCGACAGTACAAAATCAAAACGTTCACCTTAAATTTAAAATTAAAAAAAAAAACGGGCCGGGAAATTAAATCAGAGAATTTTTAAATCGATTTAAAAAAAAAAAAAATTTTTTAATTTACCTGGAAATAATTTAACGGACGTAACCATTTCCGGTTGTATTGATTTTCCGTCAAATCCTATGACGAAAAATTTATGTTCATCTATGGAAAATCGTATTTGACAATTTTTTTCCGGTTCGCTACCAACGTAAATAACACGAAATCTGTGTCTTTTACCCGCGGTAACGTTAAATACAAAAGGGGGCACGTCATTTTCCTGTTGGTTTAATAAAATTATTAACGTATAATTAATTTCCCTCCCCTCTCCTCCCATCCCCCCCAAAACAAAAACGATTAATTTACCTGAGTTTTACCGTTGATTAATAATTTTGTTTTTGACGCATCGTCTTCGTATAAAAAATTATTTTTCAACGGATTCCACGTGTGAATGACGACGACATTTTTTTTATCATCGGTATCATAATAATTTTTATTTATTTCCTTTGAATATGGTTTTTTAACTATCAAAGGACCGAATAATGTATCCAAATATTCTTCTCCTAAATACGATAAATGATAAATATTGGAGGAAAATTTAAAATTTAAACAAAATAATAATAATATTTACCCGTGTTGACCTGCCAAATGTGTGTTCCAGGTTCGGATGCTCTGAATTTATATTGAAATGTGGTTAGGCTCGGAATAGGACATTGTGTTATCATAGGTACTCCATCCATAAAAGGAGTTTCGCTTTGAGATTGTCCTCTCCAGTGAACTCCAAAACTTTGACCTGGAATTCTATTAACAATATCTACCAAAACGATATCGTATTGGCAAACCTTAAAAGAAAAAAAAATATTTAAAGTAAAAAATTATTTCTTTTGGTAATTATAATTATTATTGTTATTAATTACCTCGAGTGTAGGACCCGGAAATTGACGATTAACGGTTAATATACCTTTCGATTGTCCATCGACTGTAATGCATCCGTTTATATAACAATCGGATATATTACCTGGACAACCTTTGCATGGATTTCCCAAAGTTTGAAATCTTTCCAATGTTAATTTTATCCTACATATCATTGGCCAATCTAATTCGTGACAAGGTCTGGAACACGATTGAGGATAATGATCTGGAAAATATTAACAAAAAAAAAAAAAAAAACAATTATAAAAACTTTCACTGATTGTGTGTGTGACACGTCACCCACAATCGATACAATAAAGAATAGGAAAATTTTTCGGAAAATGATGAACGAACGAGGGAGTGTTTAACAAAAAAAAAACAAATTTATTACGTTTTTATTGTATTTTATAAAAAAGAAAAAAAATTTGTCCTGAGGGAATTTGACAAAAAGAAAGTGAAAAAAAAAATTTCGAAAAAAAAGTTATGCATATAGAAAAATTAATATTAGCAAACTCATCACGTGAAAGTAAATCTTATACGAAAATGATTAATGATCAAAAATTTTTTTTTATTTTTTATATATATAAATAAATGATAAAATTTTTTTTTTAATCATTATCGATTATTTTATTATAAATAATAATAATAATAATAATAATAATAATAAATTTTTACAATCAGTAATTTTTTAACTTAAATATAATAAAAATTAATTAATTTCCTGTTGCAAAAAAAAAAAAAATGAAAACTACTTTCTACTCTTCTACCAATAAGGAAATTATAAATTAATTAATTAAAATTTTAAATTTTAAATGACGTAATTAATTATATACTACTTAAAAATTATGATAACGATAATAATAATGATAAACGATATCATCAAAAAAAAAAAAAATTAGAGAAAATTTATACGTTCGTTGAAAATGTAAAACAACAACAACAAAAAATTGTTTATAATTTTATTTTATTTTATTTTTTATTTCATCGTTACTAACAAAAAAAAAGAAAATTGTAACGTTCACTGTGTTAAAAACAAACAAACAACAAACACAAAATGATTATTAAACATTAATTTTATATTAAAAAAAAAAAAAAAAATTGTTTCAAATACTTTTTAAAGTGGAATATTAACTTACATATTCAAAAAAAATTAATTTTTTTATTTCATTATTATTATTATTATAAAAGTATTGCCATTCGTATTATAAATATAAGATCTACATTTTCACGTTTATCAAGTGGACAAATATAATAATAATAATAATAATAATAATAATAATAATAATAGAATAACTTTTAAAATTGAAAAATTTTCAAAAGGGTTCAAAAGGAAATGTGATAAATATTTGCATTTATTTATTCGTTATTCCTTTTTTTTTTTAAATATTTAATTTTTAAAACGTTTAGTCATTACATTACTTTCTTTCGAATAAAAAAGAAAATTTCACTTTTAAATTTGTTATAATTTTTTTTTTTTGTCGAAAAAAAAAAGAAAAATACTCACTGGGTAAAGGTGTGAAGTATAAAATTAAACAAACACTTAATATTAAACCGATAATAATCAAAGACCGTAAAATAACGGTCAAAAACGAATTTTTTTTCATTTTTTTCCCGCCAAAAAAAATTTAAATCTATTAAATTAATTAGGTGTCACATCACAAAAAAAAAAAAAAAAAACTTGCGAAATATTTAATTATTGTTCGGTAAAAAAAAAAAAAAATTTCAGGTACAATTATCGCATCGATTTAATTATCGAATCACTACGCACTTTCGGTATTTACAATCGATTTACCGGAAAATCGTAATAGTTAAAGACATTTTATTAAATAATATTATTATTACTGAGACTGAAAAATCGATGACTGAAAATGTTTAAAAAAAAAAAAAAAGGGGGGGAAGGGGGAAAATAAATATTAATAATAATTAAATATTATGTTTTTATTTATATCTCTCTCTCTTTCTTTTTTTCTCTGTTTTACCACCACCATCACCCCCCCATTTTGATTTTTCCCCCTTCTTACTTTTGTTTTATTTAAATTTAAACGTTTTTTATTATATAACAAAATGATTTTTTAAAAATTTTTTAATGTGGAAAGTAAAAGTGAAAATGAAAATGAAAAAAAAATTTTTTTTTGTTAACAAATGATCATTCTTATTTAGGTATTACCAAGGTCTAAGGTCATCATTATTTTTGTTAATAATTTTTTTTTTGTCGACGACGACGAAAGTAAACGTTTTGTAAAAACGTGGTTGATAAAAGAAAATAATGTGATTTTATTTCTTTGTTTGTTTGTTTGTTTGTTTGTTTGTTGTTGTTGATGAAGAAAGAAAGAAAGAAAAGTAAAAGTGAAAATTTAAATAGAAAAATTTTTGTTAAATTATATACTTAAATACCCAAAAAAAAATTTTAAATATATTTTCAAGTGTAATTATTTAAACATTATCTAGGGAAAACATTTTTTATAAAAGGTATACGACGTATTCTTTTTATCATTTATTCAAAAATTTATAAATGGTTTGTAATACCTGAAATACCTGAAAAGAAAGTGTTGGAAATTTTTTTTTTTTATCCTTAATTACAGGGGAAAAAAAAATTTTTTTCGTTAAACCGTCCAAAATCCGAAAAACTTTTTTTAAACTTACAATTAAAAATTTTTAATATGTGCACCTAATATTTAAGGTTGTAAACCAAGTTTTAAACTAGGTAATGGTCATAAAAACAGAAGAAAAAAAAAGTTTGCGTAAGTTAATAAGATATTTTAACAGGATTTGATGTTTTCTTTTTTTTTTTTTTTTTAAACAAAATAAATTAAGTAAAAATAAGTAATAAATTTTGCAAATTCATTTAATTAATTTTGCAAACCTTTTCTTTCAACAACGAACCATAATTCTATTGCCACGATAAATAATTTTTAATTAAAATATAATATTTTTACCTGGAACTGGAGTTATGTAAATAACGGTTATCACAGCCGATATGAGTCCTATTAAAATAATAATTTTATAAAACAATGAATATTTAACCGTTTTCGCGAAAGAAGAAGCACCCATTTTATATTATTTTATTTATATTAAAAAAACACCGTTCTTTTTTTTTCTCTTAACAACCATTACTATTATAATATTAAATTAAAAACGCGAAAAAATAAAAATAAAAAATTGAAAAACGCGACTAAATCTAGTAAACAAAGTTTAAAGATTAATTGTGATTTCTTGAATTTCAACCGTTACCCATTGCTAATGGTTGTTTCAAGGATGAGTTGCTAAATTTTTGTTAACTAAAAAAAAAAGTTGCATTGAACATTTTTCTTTTTTGTTGATTTTCTTTTACATATGATTTTTTTTTTTACGCAATAAAAAACGTTTTGAAAAATAAAAAGTTATTATTTACCATCATCTTTTTGAAATTAATTGATTTGTGGAACCGTTGAGATTGGTAAAAAAGGCGGGAAAGATTTCTTCGGGTTGAAGGAATTAAAAAAAAAAATTTTTAAGAAAAGACGATAAATTAAAAGTTTAGATTTAATTTATAAAAATTTTTTTATAATATTATATTTTATAATTTGTAATAAATAATTAATAAAATTTACATCAATTTTAAATGAAAACAAAAACAATGTTTAAATTTCCCTCCAATTTATTCAAAACAAACACGTTTCAAAGGAAATTTTTTTCTCGAGAAATTTAAGTTGGCAACATTAAATTCAACCGCCAAATGTTGCAGTAACTTGTGCTGAGTGACAACGTTCATTAAAATGTCAGGTAAATAAATTATTATTATATTTAAAAATTTAATATTATAATTTTAATATTATTTTTAAATATATTTTAGTATTATGCTAATTATTTTTAACTAAATAAGGATTTTTTATTGTTTTATCTGACTTAAAGAAAAAAAAATTTTTTTAAACTTTTAATTTATTTTTAATGGAGTTTCTACTAGATATTTTTTTATAAAAAATTTTTTATTATTAATTAAAATTTTTTTTTAATTTAACAATACGGTTACATAAAGTAAATTTTAAAAAAAATTTTCAAAATGAAAAATAAAATTTTTATTTAATATATATAAAAACCTACATAAGATATTAATATTTTAATACATATTTTGCACTGAATGTGAATAATTTCAATTAAGGATAAATTAAGGGGTTACATATACCATTAATAAAAATAAGTATTATTTTAAAATTTTTTAAACTTTATTATGAAATTTATTATTTTATAGAAACTGGAAGGTCTAGTTCTTGTTCAGTTGCATCTATTATTCAAGATGAAGGAATTGTTAAACTTATGTGCAAAACTCCCAAAACTCCGAGTAAAACTAACTATCAAGCTACACCGATTACATCAGAGATTAAACGTTCGCTGTTTCAATCGGAGAATTTGAATGATATGGAAGACGACTTGGGTCTTTTATCACCTTTAAGCCCTTCGTCATGCAGTTCTAATCAAGTAAGATGAATTTCATCATATAAATTGTATATTTTTAAAATATCCGAATATATTTTTTGAATCGTCTAATTTCTTTTTTCAGTCGTTAAATAGTCCACAATTTTCACCAAATGGAGAATTTGAAACTCCTCGAAAGTCTGGACGTAATAAATCTACAAAAAAAATTTTTAACGAAAACAACAGTTCTCCCATAATTGGGTTAAAAAAAATTGAAATAAAATCTAGCTTATTCCCAGATTTAGAAATATTTAGTTCAAGATCGAAAAAATCATACAGAACACCTAAAACAGTATTATGTAAAAAATCTGAAGCAGAATATAATATTAATGAAAATAAAAATTATTCCGTACCGGCTAAAAAATCACAAAGAAGAGAATTACTTAATGATTTTAATGTTCTCGAAACAGATTCTTCATCAGTTGTTAGTAGTTCTACTTTAGAATGTGATGAATCTCCCATGGGTAGCGATTCATCCCAGAATGTGACTACTTTAGGAATAAAACCACTATCATGTGAAAGCTTTTATGGAGCTCCTCCTCAAATTCAAAAAGTTCGTACTAAATTATTTATTGATACTCTGGATCGTAAAGGTTTAAATAGAAATCTCACGAGATCGTTGAGTAAAGAATCTTTAACATCAAACAGAAGTTTTGTCAATGGTAAGAAGGATTTTTTAATTGGTTAATGAAAAAGACAATCAGGTTCACTGATTTCAAAATGAAAATTTTTTATTTATTTTTGACAATTTTATTTTTAAGGTGGTACGAAAAAGAAATCCAAGAAATCTTATTCGACTCAAATTTCTTACCCCAAATCTAACAATAATGGACATAGAAAATCAAGCAGTCGTAAAAAAGGAATGCAACCAGGGGTTTGGCATAACATTAAAAAACCTAAGCAAATAAAAAAAATTCAAAAAACGGAAAAACCATTGATATCTCCCAAATCTAGAGTTGCAAAAATGTTAAAATCAAATTCGAAAGAAATTATAATTAAAGAAAAATCTTTGTTTCAAGAAAATCCGAGAAAAAGAATCGCACACTCTAAAAAGCGAAGACGAAATGATGACGATGATGAATTTGGTACCACGTGTAAGTATTTGAAGGAAAAAAAAAAAAATTTTTTTATCGTCGTAAATAATATTTTATTATTTATTTTTAGTGTTTCATACATCAAATAATGTGTCGCATTTTTCTGATTCTAATGTGCACATGGCGGAAACAACAAATAATTACGAACCAGATCCAAATAAAAAATTTTTAAAATACGGTCAAACAAGAAAGGCAACATTCACATTAAATGAAAACGTCAAGTAAGTAATGCCCCCCTCCTCCTCCCTGTGTTTTTTGACATTTTTCAAATTAAAATGAACCATTTCAGACTTCAATTTTCCGACGGTGTTATGAGAATTCAAACTCCTAAAAAAAGGCGAAAGTTGTATTCTGGAAGAAGGGATTACATTGAAGATTTTAACGATGTCGATGACGGAGACAACGATATACAAAATAGTATAAAAAGTATTTTAAACATACTCGAAGACGATAAAGTAAGAGTAAAATCATAAGTTTACATCTTTTAAAAAGTAAACAATTTTTAAAAAAGTATTTATTTTCAGCCCGAAAAAAAAATAGAAACGCAACCTTTCGGCGTTCTTCAACCCCTGAGTACAACCCCATCAAAATCAAATAAAAAATTAGAAAAAACTCCAACGAAACCTGTCGTTAACCTCCCAACCCTCATCATTAACGATTTCGATAGCGACGAAGAGGAAAATGTGGATCCGAAATTAATATCGAGAATGGAAAAAGGTTGATTTGAATTAATCGTACCTAATAATAATAATAATAATAATATCATTTGAAACCTTTTATTAAACCTTTTTTGTTTTCTTTTGATAGGAACCAACGAATTAACTCTTGAAAAAACGGGTAACATGATTTCTTACATGACGAATATTTTAGTTAATAAAGATGAAGATGTTGGTAACACTTCTTTCGAATCCGTTGGAAATGAAAATGAAAATTATTCACCCAATAAAAATAATAATCTTTTCTCGGTGTTTTACAAACAAAATTGGGACAAGATAAAAAATTTAAACGAGTAGGATTTAAAAAATTAATTTTTTTAGTTATTTGTTTGGGAGTAGCCATGATTTTTTTTTTTTAAAATAATAAAATTTAATTTTAGGAGCTTGACGAAATCGGTACAACACAAGAAAAAAATAATAGTTCCAGATGATCAATATTTGTTGGATGCTGGACAGGATAGCATCGGAATCGTTACTTGTAAGAAATGCGGGGTCATGTATCAATCTGGTGATTTTGCAGATGAAGCGATTCATAATAATTTTCACAATCATTTATCAGAATTGAAATTCACGGTGAGCACCTTTAGATAAATTAATTTGTTAAATTTTGATTTGTTTGATGATGATGATGATGATAATGATAATTTTAGGGTTGGAGTAACGAAAGAGTGGTTGGAAAATATTCCGATGGACGAATAATAAAAATCGTAAACGCGGATCCGAAAATTTGGTGGCAAAAAGTAATGAAAATAGTCGAAATAGTCGATCAGGATTTGGGTTTTCCGGAAGCAAGCGTTCAATCATTGTTTTACAAAACGGTAATTTTCTTTTGTTTTTCCGTTTGTTTTTCATTACGTCATAAGAAAAATAACTTTTTTTTTTTTTTCCAGGTTTATTTGTACATAAACGAAAAATCAAAACAAATAGCCGGATGTTTAATAGCCGAAGAATGCAAAGTCGGTTATAAAATGTTTCCGCCGATAGAAGGAGTTGAAATTGATTCATGTTCGAAAGATCCGACACCGTGCAAAGTAATAATAATAATAATGATGATGATGATGATGATGATAATTTGTCGTTTATTGTCGGTTTTAATTTGTTTTGTTTGTAATTTTCAGATCGGTATCAGTCGTATTTGGACGGCGTTATCACACAGGCGTAAAGGAGTTGCCACGAGATTGGTGGAATGTTTGCAAAAAACGTTTCTTTTCGGTAACGTTGTTACTTTGGACGAAATTGCATTTTCCGTACCATCGCCTTCCGGTAAATTATTTGCACAAAAAATAACCGGTAAATTTGATTTTTTAGTTTACGGTTTTTAATGATTTCCACAAAAAAGGAAAAAAAAAAAAAAAAAAAGCGATTTTTTTATCATTACTTACTACATTTTAGTAAAATTAATTTTAAGAGGGTGTTTTTCTTTTATTTAAATTTAAATTCTTATTTATGAGTAAATAAATAAGAAATTTTTCTTTTTTTAAAATAAATATGTATTTCGTTTGTTGTTTTTAAACGTGACAAGTAAGAATTTTTTCTGTTTTTTTTTTTTTTCGGGGGGGAGAGAGGGAGAGGAAGAGAGTTTTCATGCTTTAATTTTAAATTATTCTTACGCTTTTTGATTTGAATTTTCTTTTCTTTTTTTTTTTTGATAGTAGAATAATAATGATTAGTTTTGTGTCGAAATTAAATAATAATAATAATAATAAATTAAATGATTTTTTTAATTTTAATAAAAATATTTTTTATTTCTTAAGCTTATAAAAAATAATAATAATAAAATTTAAATAAAAAAAAAAAATGGGGGAGGGAAGGAGGAAAAGAGGGGGGATTTTAAATAATAATAATAATATTAATAGCGTTTTAAAAGTCTTTGTGTACTGCAAATACTGAGAATTATTATTATTAATTTGTTTTTTTTTTTAAAAAATTATTTTTCTTATTTATTCTACGTCACGAGAGGAAATAATTCTCCGACCATTTGTTCAATATCCGTCGTTCTCACCGTCGTCGGAGATTTATATGGGATTTTCAATAAGGTGTCGGAATATAAATTTATATTATTTTTGTTTGTTTTCAATTTTCCGTTTGTTTTCTTATTATCGTCGTCGTCGTCGTCGCCCATGAAATATGCAAACTGATGAGTCCTGCTCATGTGAATGCGAAGATTTCCTTTTTGAACACATGAAAAATCACAATAGGGACAAGAAAAAGCTCGATCGCCTACAAAACAAACATTAAATTTTTAATTTTTCCAATCGAACGAATCTCGATCGAGAGAATGATCGATAATCGAATTAATCGACTCTCGATTACCTTTATGAGCTTTCAAATGAGTTTTTAACGCGTTGCTCTGAGTGAATCTTTTACCGCACAAATCGCAAGAATATGGTCTCTCTCCCGTGTGAACTCTCAAATGTCTTTCCAAAAGGCTTTTCTTTGAAAATGTTTTGTTGCAATATTTACACGCGTTTCCCATTTTTGTCATCATTCCTCCATCTTCCGACACGTTATTCGTCACGACTCCATTTTTTTCGTTGTTGCTTTCGACGCTTTCGTCCGAACATATTATCAAATCCGAGTTGGGATGGGTTATGTAGACTTGACCGTCCGATGTGTAGATTTGAAATTGCATCGGTTGTTGCTGCGGGTTGTCTTCTTCCGCCGTCGTAACAACGTCTCGCTCACTGTAATCATTTTTAAGGTTAATTATTTACGTTTCGTAGGTGAAGTGAGCAGAAGACAAATCCAGGCGACTTACTTTTGTTCTGTGGAAAGTAACTGGACGATATTGTTTTGATCGTTCAATTGCAGTAAAAGGCCATCGTTTTCCGATTCGTTTTCAATCGTGTCGATCACGCTGGAATCAAAAGCCTGAAAATATTCGTAATATCGTAAATTTTAATCGACAGAAAATTTCTTTTTTTTTTTGGGGGGGGGGGGGGAAACTCTTAATACCTGTTGTAAAACGTTTTGTTCTCCAGGTTTCAATTCTCCATTTTTATTTATTTCTCCCTCTTCTGACAAATTCACGACCAAAGCCACGGCTATTTTATTCAACATTTGCAATTGTTGCTTTTTCCACGTTTTAGGTTTGTTTTTAGCATGGGATAGCAAATGGTTTTTTCTGTGACCCGAAGTCCGGAATCTTTGATTGCAAATCGGACATTCGAACGGTTTCGCTCCCGTGTGAAGTCTCATGTGAACTTTGAGCGAACTTTTCGCAGCAAACATTGATTGGCAAATGTGGCAAGAAACGGGTTTGACTCCGTAGTGCGTTCGAAGATGAGACGAAAGGGTTGATTTAACTCGGAAGCATTTATTACATTGCGTGCATTGAAAGGGACGTTCGCCCGTGTGCACTCGTATGTGTCGAATCAAATCCGAGGGTTTTTTGAAACTTTTCTGACAATATTTGCAATCGTTTCCAAAGTTCGAACGACTTTCTTTTCCCGGCAATTCTTCCTTTTTTTTATCTTCTATTCTAAGCTTTTCGGCAGCGGATTCTATTAAAACTTTCTCCGAAACGCTGGCTCCGTGTCTGATGTCTTGCGCCGCCAGGAGTTCCGTTTCGGCATCACTGAATTCCCTGAAGGGACCTTTGCTTCTCCTGTTGATGCGATTATTACCATCGGTCCCGCTGACTTCGTGCACTTTTTGATGCTTTTTCAAATGAATTTCCAAGCGGAATTTCGCCGAACATTCCGAACATGAATATTTTTTACCCACGTTGTGCATACTTGCGTGTCGTCTGAGAGATGACCTCGTCAACGTGCTCCAGCCGCAGAGTTCGCAATTGAATTCTTTTTTCCCCATATGCATTTTCGTGTGAGTTTTCAGAGTTTGAAGAGATGAAAATACTTTATCGCACGTGTTGCAAGCGTAACTTTTATTTTCTTTCTGACAAAAAGCGTTTTCCTCATTTTCTTTATCGTTATTATCATTAATGTCAGCGTAATCCGGTTCGGGGTCTTTCGTGTCGGGCAGTATTTCGGACATATTCGAAACAGTTTGCAGCTCTTCCGTTTGTGAAAACACGGCGTGTACTATCGACGGTTCTCGTATGGTTTCATCCACGCTTAAAATCAAAGGCTTCGTTAATAACGACGGCTCTATAAAATCATTTTCCTTGTCATTTTCTCCGGTCGATATCATTTGAACACTGTACTCGGGCCCTTGTTCCGTTCCAAAGAGTTGCTGATTTAAAGTTTGTTCCAATTCTCTTATGCTCTCTTGAGTCAGAGATTCTTGATTTAGAGCGGATAACGTTATGGTTCCTGTAGAGTCTGCCAACAGGGTGTGACTGATGTTATCGGGTGTTTTTGATTTTGGTATTTTTTCCTCATCTGCGCTGCTGCTGTTGGCGACTTCGTTTTGTTCCGTAATAACTTTATCCGTTTCGGAATAAATTTCATTCGGTTTCAATCGTATAAACTGTTGATTATTATCGTACCTGTGTATTTTTATGTGTTTCCTACAATTCACAGATGTTTTAAATCGTTTTTGGCAGTAAGGGCACATGTATGGACGATCTTCGCTGTGAAACGTTTGTATGTGTCTCTTTAAACTACCCTTCGTAGAAAATTTACTAGTACATTTATCACATCCGAAATCTTTTTGTCCTAAATGAGTCTTCAAATGCATTTTTAACACGCCGTTCGTCGTAAAGTTTTTGTGACAGACCACGCAGGAAAAGGGTTTTTCACCGGTATGTTGTAACTTGTGCTGTTTTAAATGACTCGATTTACGAAATTTAAGCTGACAATATTCACATTCGTACGGACGTTCCGTGCTGCTGGCATTTTGACTACGAGTAATTAATTTTTCTTTTCTCGATAGCTGTTGTCTGAATTCTCCGCCAACTATGAGAAAAGGCTCTTCGAAAAAATAATTGTTATTAACGGTTTCTAAATCTCCGGCCGGGTTATCGACTTTCGTTTTGTGAGAATTAGTCGTGCAATGATTTTTTAGCTGTCCCGACGTGGTAAAAGATTTCATGCACACGTTGCAGGTGAAAGGTCTGATTCCTACGTGAGATCTTTGATGAATTTTAAGGCTTCTAGAGGATGACACCTTTTTCCCGCACATTTTACACTCGTAAAGTTTGAAACTTTGGTGAGTTCTTGCGTGAGATTTTAAAGTTGATTTTATCGAAAACGTTCTAAAACACTGATTGCACTTGAAAGGTTTCTCTCTCGTGTGAATTCTAATGTGCCTTATCAAATCCGAAGGCTTTTTAAATTCTTTTTGACACACGTTGCACTGATGCCATCGTATATTTCCTTCTCTTCTTTGACGAACCGTAAAATGCTTTATATTTCCATCGTCGCTTTTGTCGGCTATTGTCACTACTCGGATTTCGGATCCTGCGTCTGCATTTTGAGTAGAATTTTCCGTAAACAAATTATCAATGACTAAATTATCTTTACTAAGACGATCAGTTCCCTCTTCGGTTGATTTCATCGAGACTGGCAATCCGCTTATTCTGATAGCTGTTTGTAATATATCCATATCGGAAGTAGATGGCAAACTATTCCGTAATTCTGCAATTTGATTTAACAATGCATCTACCTCGGAACCAGTGGCTTCAGAATTTGGTTTACTATTGTTTTCTACTCCAACGTGAAATCTAGTAACGTGACAATTTAAACTAGCTAACTTTTTAAATGAACACGGACACTTGACGCATTTATAAATTTCTTCTCCTTCCTTCGGAATTCTATGAACTTTATTAACGTGAGTTATTAAGTTTCCACGCTGTGAAAATGATAATGAACAACAAGAACAGACATGAGGTTTGTATCCGTTATGCTTGGACATGTGAATTTGAAGAGAACCTTTTTGACTAAAAGCAGCAGAGCAAGTAGTACATTTAAATGGTTTTTCTCCAGTGTGTATTCTTATATGGCGAACAAGTTGACTTGGCTTTGGAAAACTTTTTTTACACACAGAGCATTCATTGGTGTAGTTACCCCCATTCGAATTCCAAAATCTTTTCCTTTTTCTTTTAGGTGCCAGAGCAAGTAATTGATTTTTAAGTTTTTGATGATCTTTTTTATGACACTCGAAAGTAATTGGGTTTGTAAAAATTCTATTGCATGTCTTACAAGTCAAAGCATTCTTTGGCTCTACATCATCACCAGATATTGTTTTTTCCCATTCGTTTCTGTGATCCTGAAGGTGTTGCTCTAAATGAAGAATGCTTGTAAATTCATCACCACATTCAGAGCAAAAAACATTTTCCTCTTCTTCGTGAATGGGTAAGTGAGCTTTAAATGATGCAAATCTAGTAAATACTTTATTACATTCAGGACAAGTTAAATTTCCTACATTGTGCAACAACATATGGAGATTTAGATTTTTTTCAACATTAAAACTTACACAACACACTTTGCAAACAAATGGTTTATTTTCTTTGGAATGCAGCAATTTATGAGACTTTAACTGTGACCATGTGTCCACTTTAAAATGACAAACTTCACACACAAAAGGACCTTTTCTTAATGGTGGCTCAATTTCTTTTTCTTTTTTGGGTCTTCCCCTTTTAATGGTTGTCGGTGCTTCATCTACGACTGATGATTTTAAATTTGAAACTATTTCTGCAGCAGAATTCATTGAAGGTTCTTCAATATTTTCTGCCACACAATTTTCAGTATCATTAATATTTTGAATAGTTACATCACTATCATCATTTTTAATACTACTTAAATTATCATTTGCATCAATGACAAAAGCTGGCAAATAGTCATTTGAAGTAACTTCACAGACAATATCGCAAGTTGGATTTTTTTTTATAACAGATTGTGCTAATGGTTTATCCTTCAATTCAGGATTATCAACCAATTCTAAAATTGATACTTTGTTGTCAAATTCTGTAAACTGACCCATTTCTGTAGTTATGCTATCAGAAATTTGAAAATTACTAATTTCTTGATAATTTTTTTTAGTCTCTAAATTCTCAAGAGGAACTGCAACAGTTTCTTCATCTAATACAAATTCATTTTGAGTATTTTCAATAGGCACATTTATAAAAAGAGGTTGTTCTACATAAATACTATCGTTTTGAGTTAAATCTGAAGAGACTGGAAAAAATGAAATTCCTTCTTGTGATACTAAACTTGTGACTTGAACTTTGCTGCCATCATATTTGGTTAATTCATATAGAGAATCACCCTTGACGCAAACAGCTCCTCTTCCTTCCAATTCTATGACAAAAGGAGCTATTTCCTGACACATTGATTGAGTTTTTAATTCTGTAGTGATATCATCCATTTTTGAAAATTACCTGTAAACATATACATTAATAAAAATTCATTTAAAATTTTGTCACTTAAATAATTACTATAATACTTTTATTATATATATATATATATATTTTTACATTTACTACAATATTAATTTTATTTTTCGTTAAGTTTTTAACAGAGTTCAAAACTCATCATTACTTACAAATAAATATACAAAAATAATTTATGTAAGGTTATATTTTCGATTATTCGACTAAGGTAAAAGTTAAATAATAATAAAAATTTGATTATAGTAAATTTAAAATAAAATAATATTACGGGCTAATTAATACATTTGCTGGAAAAAAAAATTTTAATTTATTACTATTGCATTTAAATAAATTATTCATAGAAAAGTCTAAAATTATTTTGATTACTGGCACAGCCTTTTACGAAATGTGAAGCCATATTTATTATTGCCATTCTTTGTTTTTATCGATGAACTAATTTTTCCATAATTTTTTTTTGTTAGGTTTGCAACAATGGATTTTTTTAGCGTAATTTCAAAATCCCAATGCGTGAAACTTGTTTCTATTTGTCATTTTTCAAACTATTGTTTTTTTTTTTAATTTTTTAATAATTAAGTTATGACTTACTTACGTATAGAAAATACAATAATATTTCAAGTGGTAAAATGGTTGTCGCCGATGTTGATTTCGTTGACAAATCTCCCAGTTCATGCCGCGTCAAAGTGATTGATATAGTGGCTCTTATATATGCCATTATATTACACTTTGTTGATGTAGGTTTTGATATTTTTTTAGCGTACTCCTATTTTATTACCGAACAGTATTCGTATTTTGCATGGACCGCTGCTTTCACAATTATTCCTACAATAATAATGACAGCTTTAAGTATAAGAATGTACATAGATGATTCTCGTGGGAGTTTAAATAGTTTGAGAGCTTTATTTCGCCCTTGTCTTTGTATTTTAGGGTTATTTTTGCAATTAGCTCCAGTCATAAGGTGGGTTTCTAATGTACAGAAGGAACCAAAATTTATAAAGTATTTCTTTTTCTTAGAAATTTAAAATAAATTAATTAGTTTTTTCATTATTTAATAAATTATATTATTATTACTGTTTTAGATATGCAGATTCATTGATTTATGCTATCAAGTGTTACAGAGCTACATTAAAAAATGATAAAGTATTACAACAAACATATTTCAAGAAGATGTTAAAGGTATTCCTCAATGTTTTATTTTTTATTTTTATTTTTTTTTTTTGCTTCAATTTTAAATTACTTTCCAGGAAGACTCTGATACAATTCTTTTAAGAGTATTTGAATGTTATATAGAGTCTACATTTCAGCAAGTTCTTCAGATAACATTATTATTAATTGATTACAGTCAAGGTTTGAATCTTCACTTAATAAAACAATGCATCATGATAACGCTTAGTTTCACATCGATGGGATGGTGCATGTGTACTTACCACAGAAGTATTCGATTTGATCAAGATGATAAGTTAAACATTTCAAACTTGGGCTCTGTTGTGCAATTCTTTTGGCACTTAAATTTTACAGGTAATAAAAAAAATACAGCTTTTATTATTTGTATTTTAAATTTTATTTATTTTTTTTTTTTTTAGTCTCCAGAATTTTTGCAATATCAGCTATGGCAATCTTATATCCATTCTGGGCAGTTTTAAGTGTTGTCATTCATTGGTGCCTGATGACGATTTGGATAGGTATTACCTCGAAAACAAATTTTTGTGGAAAAAATTTTATTTTAGAAATTTTTTTTTCTGCTGCTGTCGGATTAATTTATATATTTAATTTCATAAGTCTGAATGATGGGCCAACGAGGAATTCATATTATATTTTTTTTTCAATTTGCGGAATTGAAAATTTTATAGCTTCAATTTTATGGAGTATCAAAGCTCAGGCTCTTATAAAAAATTGGATTTATTATGTATTTTCAATTTTGCCTGTGGGAACATTTGTTTTAAGTATTATATTTTTGATAATTTATTACAGTTGCTTACATCCAAACAAATCATATAATTTTTTAAAAAATCGAAAGATGAGTAGGACACTATAATAATTAATTTAATAAAATAAGTATTTTTTCTGCCACTGTTTGTTAACTTTAAAATTTTATTCTGCTAATTTTAATTACACTAACACTATTGATTTACTTTTATTCTGTTTATTTAAAACAATACATTATTATTATTTTCTGCAAGGTAATTTTTGATGTTAAGCTGATACGAAAATTTTTCACTCGATGAAATTTTTAAATTTTAAATCGTCATTAAAATATTTTTATAAATTATTTTATACAATTTATAGATTATATATTTGCCTACATTTGTATTTTTTTATTTTTATAATGAAAAAAAAATAAATTTTTGAAATTTTATATATATGTCTTATTTAAGATGACAAATTTACGATTGAAATTTTTATATTATTATATTTTTTATGGAATTTTATCCATAAAATTTTGTATTTGATTTTCAAATGTCATTCCAGTTACACACAACAAAATGGCAGCGGCTCCTAAACCACTCATCCAGTCAGGAATTTCACCAAAAACCGTAACTTGAAGGAAAAATGCTAATATAATATCGAGTGATCGTATTACGGCAACTTTTCCAGCGTCTTCTATACCCAAAGCCCTGGCTACTAACACTTGGCCTGCTAGTCCCAAAACGCTCACCTAAGTAACAAAAATTATTTAACATTATTAACGTTTTTTCATAAGTATGAGTATAATTTACTAATTTAATTTTAACTTACAAGTGATGTTAATAGCCATTCATTGGTTCCTTGTGGAATAACAATTTTGTCTCCGTTAAATTCTACGAGAATATATAAAAGAATTCCGGAAAAAATTAACGACCACGTGGATAATTGCAATACGACGATAGAAAAATGAACATCTTTACATTTTCTTATTACAACTATATTTAATGCCATAAAAATTGTTGCCAATACAGCCGAAGAATAACCCAATACGTCATATGATTGCTCCACGTGATAAAAAAACTAAAAAAATTTATTTAATTATTATACAGTATACTGATTGAAAACGGATTTGTATTAATAATTAATATGAAAATTCAAAAAACCTGAAATATAAAAGGAGGTTTTGCTATTAAAATAACTCCCAATAGTAATAAGGCAACAATAAGAGCACGAAAAAATCCACAAGGCTCCCGAAGAATTATAAATGATAATACCATAACAAAAACGGGAGAGCTGAATATGATTGTTGTTGCATCTCCTAATGGAAGTCTTCGAAATGTAAAAAATAATAAAATTAATGTTAAACCTCCAACCAAACCCTGAAAATAATTTTCCAAAAAAAATTTTGTGCAATTCATATAAAACATTAATTAAACAGAATTAAGGTATGGGTTAGTTACCTGAATGTTTAACATAAGTCGGTAACCTTTGGGTCCAAATAAATTTTTTTTTACATAAATAGCAATTATTAACATAAATATTATTTGAACGATAGATCGAATAACTAATAATTCCATCGGATTAATGGTTGTTAAGGCTTTTACTGCGGCCGAACTCAACGTGAAAAAAGTTCCAGATAAAAATGCCAAAAGAGGACCTTTCCACAAACTTTTCTTTTCGGAATTTTTCAAAGTCGTATTCATCGGACGCCATTGATTATCATTTTTTAAATTGTTCAAGTCATTACTCTAAAAATTTTTATTTAATCCATAAATTAATGCCAATAACAATAAAAGTTTTAAAAAAAAATTATAAATTACTCACCAAACTTTGATAAAAAAAAGATGGATCGGAAGTACCGATCGGAGATGAATCATTCAACAATCTATTTTTTTCTCCAGGTTCTGGAGAAAAATTTGTTTGTTTAAACACGTTTGGATACATGTTGATACTCTCTAACGAATGTAATAAAACAAAAACGTTCAGCTAACAGTTTATGGTTTTTTTGACTTATTTTATTTTAATTAGCAGGTGCTGTAACAAATGCGGTCGAAAGGATTACTCTTAATAAAAGGTAATCATCACATTCATAAAAAAAAAAAAATATTAATTAGGTCGATCGTCTTTAAAAATTATTATTATTATTATTATTATTAAGTGGTCTACATTTTCAAATATAGTAAAGAGGGTTAGAATGTTAAAGAAAGTCCTTAACTTTTAATAAATTTCTTTAAAAAAAAAATAAAATTTGATAATTTTCAATTCAAATTTATTACTTAAAACTTGTCACCATCACTTTGAATTATTGATAAATAAATAAATAAACTTTTCTCTTATTATTATTATTATTTATTACATATAAATAAATTATTAAAAATCAATTAATTTTATTTATTTATTTAATATATATATATACATAATAAAAATGAATGAACTTTGAACAAAATAATTTTAAATGTTAACAAAATATTTACATTTTCAATCATCAATATTAATAATAATAATAATTATAATCAAAAAATTATTTATTTATTTATTTATTTATTTTGATATCGTATACGATCTTTCAAAATTGTGTTATGCTGTGACATGATTAAAAACAAACAAAATATAAAATGGATAATTAACAAAGGAAAGAAATATTAGAAATTTTAATTTTTTATTTATGTATATATATATATTTTTATAAATACTTTTACAATATTTATTTTTATTTTAATAAAATTATTAACGTACAAACATAATAAATCAATATTCTCATGGATTTGACATGAGTTTAACTTAATCGCATAAGTTTTTTTTTTAAAAAAAAAAAAAAAAGGGGGGGGGGGAGAAAGAAAGAAAGAAAAACTATTAATTAAGGCTTAACTGAAAGTTTTACGTTTTTTTTTTTTTTTTTTTTTTTTTTTTTTAAATCATAATAATAAAATTATTTTAAATGCACAAACATTGGACGTGATAATGGTTAAATTATTTCTTATATTTATTTATTCTTTTTTAATTTTTCTTTTTTCTCCCTCCCTCCCTCTCTCCTCCCTTTCTCCTCCTTCCTTCCTCCCTTTGATTATGGAGCATCAATGTAGGGTGAAAGTCTTTCGAATCTTCTTTTTCTAAAATTTGCTATTTCCGCACTCAGATCGATTTCTTTCGTGAAACATTTTTTCAACACCGGATTTGACGTCATTTCCTGAACGAATTCATCGCAGGTTATTCCCCAACTGCTTTCGTTTGGATCCTCCGTATTTTTACCCTTTTCTAATAAATTTGTACCTGTTGAAATAAAATTTAACTTGGAATAAAAACCAATTTTATTTTTTTATTTTTTTTTTTAGGAAATCCATAGTGGGAGAGAGAGAGAGAGAGAGATAGACAACTTACCAACGTGAGAGAGAGACTGATAAATTTCCTGACTGGTTTCAAAAAAACTATATAAAGTTTTCCAGAGGCAAGCAAAATTTTTTTGCGGCATCAATTCATCACCAGGTTTGCTTTTTGTATTATCTACGACACACATAATAATATTCAAAGTTAAACGTTGACGACATTTTTCTTTTTTTTTTTTTTTTTAGATAACTACCTTCGAAAAATTGCAAAGCTTCGGCTGCTTCTTTTGACCCCGGGATGTCTAATTCGGAAAACAAAGGAGGCATGTGCAATGTAAAAAGTAATTTCATTCTATCCTCCATTGGACCGCAACATGTTATTGCTAATCCTTTCATCATTTCCCTCGCATTTAAATACCCATTATTGTTTTCGTCCATGAGCTGATAAACGTAAACATTTAGTATATATATTTGTCACCATTTTCAAATTTTCACAATTAATCACCTTGAATATTTCTCGCGTCATGATTTCCATATGACACCCTCTTCCCCATGGAGACAAAGCAACGAAAATACTTTGAAATGTTTCAAAATCAATTTTAAATATTTCATAAGGCATTTGATAACTTTCGGATATTTTAAATGATTTCTGTTGAGACATTTCTTCTCGAAGTAATTTTATTAAATCCTGTAAATAATAACGTGAATTTAACAAGTATTAGTATAGGCTTTAAGAAGAGACTTTTAGGTTTTTTAAGAATTTAAAATAAATAAAAAAAAAGGGGGGGGAGGGACCTCTAATTCTTCCGCTTTGAAATATCCATCCGGTACCAAACTTCGGACAATCATTTTTTCCAAACCGTTTTCCAACCTGTGTACGACTTGAAGCCTGTGTTTTAAACGTAATCTTTCTATGCTGGCCACGGTTATGAATCCATATTTCACGTAGGCATCGTAAATAAGGCTTTGAATGGTCACACTTCTCGGTACGTTTTTCGGCCTTGAATCAAAATTATCATCGTCGTAGACGCCATTTAAATAATTTGTTATAAGTATTACGGCTTCTCCGTCGTCTTTACAATTTTTCAATTTATCCTCCAACGATTCCATAACTGTGAGCGCAATCTGAATTAAATTTTACGACGTCGTATTTAATATATATATATATATATAGGATTTTGTAGAAATGTAGGATTTATTTTGATTTGGTATAAATAAATTAATTTTGACATAAACTTACTTGAAATAAAACTTTGGCACCGTCATAAAAAAAACAGTCCACTATGTAAACCGCGCATTCATACGACATAACACTCAAGTACACGGTCAAAAACCAAGACAGTGAAATAACTCTAATTGTTCCCAAATTTTGAAGGATTGTATTTAAATGTGGCAAATGATCTGTGACAAGTGCTTCCAAAACTCCCTGATCCACTAAAGCACCAACCACTCTGGTATTATACGAATCCGGAAGTAAGCTTTCGCAGACTTTTGCCAAAAGCCAAAAAGCTTCCTCTTCAGAGCAATAAATAAGAAATACCTTAAAATAAAAGGAGCATTAACTCAAATTTAATTGAAAAAAAAAAAAAATTTACAACTTGTATATGTAAATAATAATTCGCCTACGGAAGCCAAAATATTCATAGCTTGACAATATCCGACTTGAGGGTTTCTTAGAGCATAAGCCGATAAAACTCTTCTTAAAGCAGGGATCCCTATCGAAGATTGAAAAGCAGGATGTTCGGGAAGCGAACGATGCAAATCTCTTTCGATTTCATCATTTGTTGTATTTATTTTTCCCAACGATTGATTTACCAATGATCTATACAAACCAGGATTGGCCAATTTTTCATTTAACGCCCCTTAACACACACACAGAAAAAAACCTTTTTACATATGTTAGTCGTTACATGTACTATATTTAAAACTTTTCAAATTCTATGAAAATTAATATTTAAAAAATAATCTTAATAAATTACCCGAATAAATTAGCCATAGTTCACTTCGAAAATTGTCAGGAATTCCATCGAGAATTAATTTTCCAGCATCAGCTGTTCGATACATTGAAATCCCTCGTCCAAATTCAGAAAAATATTCTTTCCATTTTGAACATTTAGAAATTTGACTTTGTGTACCTGAATTCGAATTGAATTCATTCATAAGAGGTCCCTGAATTGACCAATCATCTGAGGAAAAATTAAAACAATTTCAATAATAATTTAAATATATAGATTTTAGAAAAAGTAATAATTTAAAAAAAAAAAAAAATACCCTCGACTTCATCAGATATTTTAAGAGCTTCAATTAAATTTGTTTTGATTTCTTCATCTTTATTTTTCCATTTAGATAATAATTCGGTTATTTTAATAAGTAAAAAATCTCTATCTGGTATTTGAGCAAATACAAATGTGGAATCTACTGTGGTAATAAGGAGTCTTTTGTAAACAGTATTTTCATCAGCTTTTTCTACCGCCTGTATGTATTGTAAGGGAATAACCAGACTCACCAAATATTTCACCTATAAATTTAAATGAAAAACATTAAAACTATGTTTTTTTAAATTGATTTTCTGCAGATTATATAAATCAAGTTCTTACCCTACTTTCGAAACAAATATAATTTTGAGATAAAAACATTCTACCCCATGTATATCTTTTATTATAAGGTGTCCAAAGAGTACAATCAGTACTACCATCGAGTTTTTCTGTGGAAGGAAGGCTAAAGAGTAATCTGTAAGCTTCTGAATGTGCACGAGCATCTAAATCTCTTTTTAGAAAAGATGAGTGTTTTGGAATATTTTTACTAAAATGCATTTATAAAATAAATTAAGTCACCAAATTTTTAAATACTAACTCAATTTTACAAATTTTAAATTATAATTAAAACTAAAAAAAAAAAAAAAACAAAAACCTTAATTTGTTTAATAAATCCCTGTCTTCTACGAAACTTGTGCTATCATCTATCAACTGCTTCATAGCTAAATTTGTCAATTGCTCCATCAGTGCAAATGTTTCAGACTTATGTAATAGAACTGTGAAATAATGCTGAAAAAAAAATTTACCATAGTAAACATAATATTTAAAATTTAATTAACTTTAGAAAATGTATGTTAATGAAAATTCTAGATAAACAATCAAACAGAACTTTGATTAAAATATGTGAAAATTTGACTTAAGATTAATAACCGAAAAAAGTAATAAATATATAAAAAAACTAGCTTAAAAAAATCTGGTTTGAAATTTTTTATTAAAAAGTAAATAAAAATTCTATGGGTGAATTTTTTTCGAGAAAAAAATCTTCATATTACTTTTCAAGTTTTATATGTATGGCTCACTTTGCAAAACTTTAATCTCACCTCTTCGTTAATAGTAGTTACTTTTATTGAATCAGGTAAAACAAGAGCAGATGTTTTGCTTAATGAAGTTACTTCTGCCCATCTTAATACAACCCTATGCTCTTTACCCCAAATGTATGCATAAAAACATAACCTATTAACAGTTAAATATAACCACCCTTGAAGAGGCATTCTACCTTTCCAGTACATACAAGAATAGTAATAAACCAGTTTGTCTTCTGCTGGAATATTGAATAACTCATGCACCTTCAATGAAGTCGACTTAAACTCTTGAGTTTCTTCATCTAAAACGACAAAATAGTTTAAAGTTTAAGCTGTATTCTGTAAATAAGTTACCTTTTACATATAAATCTTTTAAAATACAATAAAATTTCTTTGATTGTTTTCTTGATAATTTTTTTTTTGTAATGCATTTAAAATCTTTGAAATATTCATTTAATAAAAATACAGTTTTAAAAATAAACTTATTATTTAACAAAATTCATTTACTGTGGAAATAAAAATTTACCTTCAACAGAGTTAGATGCTAAGTTTATATTTATGTATGAATGAACTTTACAATGTACAAATGCAGTCTTTTCTTCTTCAGAATCAATATCATTTATACTGCGACTAATATTTTTATCAATCCATTCCCAGTCTTTCATGATATCGGGAAAAGTAGTTGAAGTTGCAATAACTATAAAAAGACTTAATTAGCTTGATGCAAACCTTATTAAAAAAAAAAAAAGTAAAGTAAAATAATGTATACCATAACATCTATCAAAGGTTTTGTAAATTAACCGATAAGGAGCAGGCCTGGTATCAAGGACACTATCAATTGTACCCACGAGAAGAGACGACAAACTTTTAGATTCTCCATGACCTTTTCTTTCTTGAAGCATGAAATACTTTGTATCTTTTTTAGTGGTCCTAAATATTTAAAATAATTTAGTTAAGTTTTGTAAAGGAAACAATAAAAATGAAATTATCATTTTAGCAATTAATATTTAAATCATTGAATTTCTTTTCGAATATTATTTCAGAGGTACTATTATTTTAGTTTTAACTGACTTTATAATTGATCAATGTAAATAGTTTTCATTGCTTGAATATAAAAGTATTTTAACTGCATAAGAAAAAATTATAACACGGTTTAGAAATAATTAAAATATAATAATATATTGTTAGTTAACCTTTAACATCATGTCCTTTAACAGGCATACATTAAAGTAAAATTGATTATTAAAATTATTTTAAAACACAAACTACTGCACACTAAAAATTCTTACCAAAATGACATGGCCGTAAAAACCAGCTGTGGTCGAACTAACATTTTTTTTTAATTTCTTTAATATTAGATTACTAATTATAAAAAATTAATAAAACTAACTAAATTTTAAATCTACTTAAACTTGACATAACAAAACGTTAATTTTAAAAATATCATCTTTAAATTTATTATGATAACATACAGTGATACCAAATTTACATTATTTATATTATGTAACTTAATTTCCACATTCGTTTTTACCGTACGGACTTTGCGATTTGTCGAAAATTGTAAACAAAAATTTTTTTATATTGCAATAATTTGCCGTAAGTAAAAAAAAAAAAAAAACATGCTTTAAGATTTTGATTTCGCGTATTTCTAAAAGTAATTTAAAAAGCTTTGATTAAACATTTTCCGTATCGCTTGAATAAAAAAAAAAAATTTAATTACAAATGTATAGCATTTTAAAAGCTTTACTGTTAAAAAATATTTTTTAAAGACACACTTCTACAGTACCTAAAAAATTTACTAGAATAAATTTTAAATTGAGAAATTCAAAAAAATTTATATTAAATTAAAAAAAGTTGTTTTTATTAATTGCATACATTATCACTTCAAAACTAAAATAAAATATGCATAAGTATAATAACTTGTGGAAATACTTTCTCCCTAAATTTTTAACCTATTAATTTTTTATCACAAAAGGAATTTAGTTTTTTTAATGTAATATGGCTGATAAAGAAAAAGAAAACACACTCTATTCTCATGAAGTTGAAAAAAAGCATAAATTGGACAGATTAAAAAATTTTATTTTGGATGTCGATAAAAAACTTCAATGCCTATGTAAAGAATTAAATTGGGACTACAGTCGTTTTATCGAAAAGGTTTGTTTTAAATTTTTTACTACCTATCACACTTAATAAAAATTGTTGTAATTAGTTTTAATCTTTTTAGAATGAAACAGTGATGGTTTCATGTTCATTTAATGCACAGCACAAAGTTCCAGTTCAAAATATAAAAATTCACGAAGAAAAATGCAAATTAAAAATGACTGAAAATTATGATGAATTATGTATTAAAAATGATTCCTCGATTGAAGTAAATTTAGAATTAATAAATAATATATCAAAAAATATTTCACAATTTGGTAAGCATAAAAATTTTTTTTTTTATCAGGTTTAATTAATTATGATAAATATCATAATGATTGAATTGTTTCAGTTGAAATTATAATTGCAGCATATTTCAATAAAATCATATCCTTTTATAGATTTCTCTTGTTACTTTTTAATAATTTATTAAGAGTAGTAATTATCTTTAAAAAAAAACAAAAGAAATTAAAATTTTCTTTTTTATTAATATACTTATCCTTAACTTTTTCCTTTAAATATATATATAGAAATGTATTTAAAAGAAATCGATAAATTGTTTTCAATAAAAAATACAAATATGCAGGTATATTATAAATTTGTGTATTGTAATGTAAGAATTTTTTTTTTTACAACATTAATAACTTTTATATAAATTTTTCAGGTGAAACTACTTTATCTTACCCCATAACTCAAGAAAATTTAGATCAGTCATTAAACAGAGAACAGAAATTAGCTTTGTACGATTATGTGATAGCAAACTCTCCAAGACAAAATTCATACCGAGAATTATATAATGTGTAAGTCAAAATTTTAACAGTGAGTTTTTATAAAATTTCTTTTTGTTTTGCAAAATAATGGATTAATTTTCAATCAATTTTTACTAAACTTAATTTTAAATTAATGTCTGGTTTTGCTTATCATTAAAGGAATTTCGAAAGAAAAGAAGAAAAGAAAAAAATGACTCCATTAGAAATTGCTGCTGCTGAACGGGATGCCAAAAGAAGGAGAGCTTCATACAGGAATAAAGTGCATACACATCGTAAAACTCATACAGAGGTAAGAAAAAGAAAGTAAAACTAATTAATATAAAGGGAATTTAAATTTTTATTTATTTATTAATTCAATAGATCATGAAAGAAGTTATAGATGTACAAATGCAATTATACGAAGAAGAAATACTCGGTAAAAATGGTGGTGATTCCAAGAAGAAAAGCGAGGAATCACAAAAACATTATAATTCACACAAGGATAAATATTCTGATAAAAAACATAAAAGAGATAAAAATAAACAGAGAAATGAATCCCGTGAAAAAAATCATCGGGATTTTCATAGGGACAAGTACAGACGTGATTATAAAGACGATTCTCCCTCAAGGAGGGAATCCCATTTGAAACACAAACGACACGAGAGTACAAGGGAAAAAAAATCAGAATCACGTAAATTTTATTAAAATTGAAAAGTTTGAATTTAAAAAAACAATAATATAAGTATATAAATTATTTTTATTTTTATTTTAATATTTTACAATAAAAAAATTATAAATTTTTCTCGAAAGTTAACATTAAAACATCAAATACATTTATAAATTCAAAAAAAAAACATAAAAAATAAATAAATTTGACAATTTTTTTCATTTTTAAAATTATTTACGCTTTATTTATTAGGTTTTGCAAAAGAGAATAATAAAAAAAATGACATGTAATAATAATAATAATAAAATTTAAACATGCAAATTTTAAGTAACTACATAATGTCATAGTTTTTATGTTTTTTTTATACGGTTCGTTAAAATCATATATTTCAAAAAAAATTATTTTTAGAAAAATTTTTTTGTTTTTGTTTATTGAAATGATAATTATTTGCAAAATTTTTTATTAATATTCATACTTAACTAAAGATACATCAAACAAATTTAAACTTTTTTTCTTAAAACAATTAATTATTCGAATATATAGAAATAAAGGTACAAAAAAATTATTAAACTTATATAGAAAATTAAATAAATTTATAAAATAAAAATATCATTTAAATAATAATAGTAATTAATAATAATAATAATATTAAATATAAAAAAAAAAAAACTTAATTAACAAATTTTATAACTAATAAAATTAATGAAATAAATAATTTCCAAGGATGCGAAATGGTTGCAGAAGATGTATCATATAATTTTTCTAATGGAGTCCTGTAAAAAAAAAAAAAATAATAACAATATTAATAAATATTGAAAATGATTGTTTTCAAATTATTATTATTATTATTTTTTTTTTTTTTAAATAAGAAAATAATAAATTGTTAAAAAGAAGAAAAATTATCTTACAAAAGTCCAATTACTCCGCAGGCTATTCTCGGACCTGAATGACCTGTTTTTAAACTGTCAGAAAATGTTCCTTTTCCAAAATCATCAGGATCTGCATGTACAACAACAGATCTTCCCAAAATTGTATAAGGACCAGTAAGGGAAATGATATTATCAGTTATTGAAATGAGTGCAACACCATCAGGGGATGCTATTATGTTACCCAAATCTCCAACATGCCTTTCTGGATCAACTAAAGCTCCATGATTTTTCTTTAAACAAAATAAAATTTGATACAATTTTTCATTATTTTTTATTTTTTTTTTTTTTTTCTGAAAAGTTTTAGAATCAGGAAATATCATTTTAAATAAATCTAAAAATAATTTTTAAAATATTTAGAATGTCAATCTGCAAATAGGAGATTGCATGTCTAAAATGTCTTTCTTCTATTCAATGTAAATAAATATAAACAAAATATTTAGGAAAAAGGAAAAAATGCCCTTGTTTAATTTGATATTATTTTCGGCCTTACCTTGAATGGATTGTAATGAGCTCCAGTCGAAGCACAATTTGAAGTTATATCACCGGTTTCATGTATGTGAAAACCGTGTCTTCCAGGTGGAAGTCCAATAACTTTTCCCCATATAGTAACCGTACCTCCATCATTTTGTGAAAATGTTATGTTTCCATTAATTCTTCCATTATCACTTCTAACGTGAGTAATTGCTTGCAAGAGCTAAAACAATTACAAAACATTTTACTTCCGGTAGGAAACTAAGGCCGACTCAAAATGATACTTTTAATAATAAATCATAATCAATGACACAAACGAATGTACGGACCGAGTACCAACATAAAAAAAAAAAAAAAAAATTTCGCGCACGAATTGTAAGGTTGAAAAAAAAACATAAACGGAAGTATAAAAAAAAAAAATATTTTATTACCGTTATCGCATTTTGATTACGATAAAAAGAAAATAAATCGTAAACTATTTTGACCTTAATTTTTCTATAATAATAATTGAAATGCAACAATTTTTCTTACAAATAGTCATTAGTTGAAAGCAAACGTTTACACACGTATATGCCAAAGGTAAATATTTTGTAATGTTTTACAACCATATAAAAAAAAAACAAATCTAATCAAAGTTGTGTTACCAAAAACATAAAATCCAATAAAAAAACTTTTTTTTATTGCTTTTTTTTTTTTTTTAAATTACCGAGATTTTAATTATTTAGAAAAAAAATTTTTTTTTTTAATGAAAATAAATTGATAAGTCACGAAACTAAACTTCGTAAAAAATTAATAATTTTTATTGGAGGAAGTAAAATGACCTCATCAAAATATTAAAAATGGAAAAACAAAACATTTTAATTTGTTTAATTTTTTATCAATTAGAGAAATAAAATTAAATCGATTCATAATCAAATCATAAATATCATCGTTAAAATATTTATTATTATTATTGTCATAAATAAATAAATTTAATTGAGATATAAAAAATTTAACGAACCTGACATTGAACGGTAGCAAATATCGATATGAGTATAAAACTTATTATCCAATTTTTATCCATCGTCATTTTGAAATCTGTAAAAAAGAAAAAAAAAACTTGAAAAATATTTAAAAAAGTTAAATAAAAAGATTAAAGTACGGATTTTTAATTATTATTATTATTATTTATTTATTTATTTATTTATTTCCACCTTTGGATCAGGGTTTTTTTTTTCAATTCTTTTTTACAATTGTTTTCATATTAAAAAAAAAAAAAAATGGCTGACATGTCATCGTTGTCATGTTTAATGCCAGCAAAAAAATTTTTTATTTTTAAATAAATAAATAAATAAGTAATAATAATAATAATAATAATAAATAACACGTAATTCGTTGCATTTAAATATTAATAAAAAAATATTTTAAAAAACTTATTAATTTTCTTTTTATTTATTTATTTTATTTTTTCATTTTATTATTTCGATAATAAGTTTTGCTTATTTATTAACGATCGATTTGATTTTGTTGTAATTAATATA